ATTATTTCATCAAAAGATATTCCTGACTTTTAGAATCTTTCTCTCTGTGACCATAAATAGCCTCATATATCTGATTATACATCATAAAAATGTGCAGTATGTCCATCTAATGATGGCTCTGGTTGTATAAAATGACGGATGCCCATCTTCTATATTCATTTACAATTGAATCGAACAATAGATTTGCAAAGAAAATGTCTAATACAGACGTAAAAAAATATCCAACACATCAGTTTCGTTTTTGCAGTTGCGCACAGGACAAAAACAAGCATCATCACAACCAAACACGTCCTGCCCCATTATTACAGCTAAGCAAATTTTTAAAATTTATATTCAAACAAAAATGACATTTCCAAGGGAAAAAAAAAATACAGAACTATGGATATAAAACAACAATCATAAATAATCCTGATATTAATCCATAAGAGCAGACAGTAAGCGCTATAGGAAGTGAGCATAATGTAAGATACAGTGCAGGACACTCACAGCGCTGGGATGTTGTGTGACACAACTACACAATCATACTTCCTTTTCCAAAGAAGATCCTCTTTGCCAAAGGCAGCATGCATGATACAGGGCTGAGCCGGGCAGATAAACGAGTCAAACGTGTAAAGGCTTTGCTGCGTCGCAAACGGTTGATAAAAAAGGGGAAAAGTCATGTTTTTGACAGCTAGCGAGGAAATTAAAACGGAAACTCGTATCGTTAGCAACACAGCACCATTAAAAAAAAAAAAAAAAAAAAAACTCTCATATCAGATGAGGCCAAACATAAAAAATAATCCAAAAATTAAAGCTGCAAGCAGCGATGGGCGGGCCCTCGCACCTCTAGCGCGTTGGGGTGTGAGGCGGCCGCGTTGCATATTCTGCGGCTCAGCCGGTCCAGCTGTGAAATTTTTCGCTGCTTCGTTAAAGGTCACTTCCTGTTGCCACTAGGTGGCGCTATGACTGTGGGTGAATGTCGGCATGTAGGTTTGTTCTGGGCGGGACTCTTGTCAAATGTGTCAAATTTGGTGCAGATCTGGGCATTTACAGCCAAGTTACTACAACTTCCTGTTTCATGGCGAATCTTCGACGCCACGGACACGCCCATCGACGAAAACGCGCAGATAGCACAACTTTACATCGTCAATGCCTTTAAAAGGCACAGCAGAAATTTGAAATCGATCCAACTAAATCCCTAGGAGGAGTTCGTTAAAGTACGGAGTGTGTAAATCGTCCCAAATCGGTCGCCAAATTCAAAATGGCGGACTTCCTGTCGAGTTTAGGGTATGGGTTCTTGAGGCTTTTTTGTGCGTCTTGATATGATACACATCCCCACCAAATTTCGTGCTTATAGGTTGAACGTGGACGAGGGGCTAATTTTTTGCAATTTTCTAGGTGGCGCTAGGGAGCCATTTTGCCACGCCCATCCGCGAAACCCACAAAATACGAAATTTTTCACCAGTCCTGACATGCATGCCAAATTTGGTGAGTTTTTGAGCATGTTGCGGCCCCGAAAATGGCGCTTACTTTGCAGAAAAAAGAAAAAAAAAAGAAAAAAAAAAATAACCCTAACAGTTTCAATAGGGTCCTCGCACTGTTAGTGCTCGGGCCCTAATAAAGGCAAAAATTCTCTACATGAACACCAAATCAACAAGATGTTGAGCTTGCATACACTAGGACAGAAAATGAACAACTTTCTTTGTATATCAGCATTTTGCCCCCCCCCCAAAAAAAAAAATAAAAACACAATATCTTTGCTGGAAGGTGCAACTGTAACATCCCCCGTCGAAACACACTTCGAGTGCAGGAGGCAAAATGAGATTTGATGACAAGGAAGATTTCACTCCTCATTACTCATTTCAGTGGAAAAACACTAATATACCACATAAGTGAAACCGTGTTTAACAGTCTTAAGTGATAATGCATTCATATTCATATTTTGTTCAGGCTTAACAAAGACATGTGCACATTCATACACAAATACAAACATATACATGTACACTTAACTGGTCCAGGCAATACGTTTAACAAAGGAGAAGTCAGTGAAGGGAGAAAGACATTCAACAAAACAATCCTGTCATAAATTAGACACTGAATCAAATAAATGCGGTTTTATATAGGAGAGATTTTAAGTGATGTAACACAGTTTTCATCTCCTTTCAGGAGCACTATAGTGCACAAAACACCAGCATTGGGTTGGGTTGATCCTTTCAAAATGCTGACCAAACGATTAAAAACGGATACAAAATATTCCATCAACAACTTCATGGAAGTTAGCAATGTTTTGTAATATAATAAAGGAAAACATGAACTTTGGGGGGGGAACTTAAACTAAGTCTAATTGTCTGTATTCTTTAAACTGAAACTACAGAAGTTACGAAACACAAACCGAAGCAATGAAAATGAGGTGACCTTTGGACCACTGTAAACAACAAATGGGAACTGTCACTGTATTGAGCATTTCATACACACTAAACACAATCTCACATCCTCAAACGAGACTGAACTCTAAAATTCTATTGTGCTGTTTGTTGCTTGTAGCTATTAAAGGAACAGTTCACCCAAAAATTATCCAAATTCAGCATTGAAGTATTGACTTGGACCCACTTCTGGTGTCTGTCTTGACTCTAACATGAGCCTGTCCTGTTCTTGGTCTTGACTCGGACTAGACCCTCTTCTGGTTTCGGTTTTGACTCTTTGAGTCTTTTTCTCTCTCTTTTTTTCTAAGATTTGTTTTTGCCATTTCTGCCTTTATAATGACAGGACAGTAAGTAGACAGGAAGAGAAGTAGGCGAGGGAGTGAGGGGGACAGGATCAGAAAAGGTCCACGAGCCGGGACTCAAACTCAGGTCGCCTCAAGTGCAACAGTGCTATATGTGCACTGACTGTGATCTCTGTGGTCTCTTCTGTTCTCAGTCTTGGCTCAGACTCATCCCTTTCTGATCTCGTTCTTGACTCCGACTCGAGGTCTTGGTCTTGTCTCTCTTGACTTGGCCCTTTTGTGGTCTGAGTCTTGATTAAGACTTGACCCTCTTCTGGTCTCTGTCTTGATTTGGGTTTAGACCCTCTTCTGGTCTCGGTCTTGACTCGGGTTTGACCCTCTTCTGGTCTCGGTCTTGACTCGGGTTTGACCCTCTTCTGGTCTCTGTCTTGACTCGGGTTTGACCCTCTTCTGTTCTCTTTCTTGACTTGGACTTGACCCTTTTGTTGTCTGGATCTTGATTAAGACTTGAGCCTCTTCTGGTGTGTCTTGACTCAGGTTTGACCCTCTTCTGGTCTCTGTCTTGACTCTGGTTTGACCCTCTTCTGGTCTCTGTCTTGACTCGGGTTTGACCCTCTTCTGGTCTCTGTCTTGACTCTGGTTTGACCCTCTTCTGGTCTCTTTCTTGACTCTGGTTTGACCCTCTTCTGGTCTCGGTCTTGACTCGGTTTAGACCCTCTTCTGGTCTCGGTCTTGACTCTGGTTTGACCCTCTTCTGGTGTCTGTCTTGATTCTGGTTTAGACCCTCTTCTGGTCTCGGTCTTGACTCGGGTTTGACCCTCTTCTGGTCTCGGTCTTGACTCGGGTTTGACCCTCTTCTGGTCTCTGTCTTGACTCGGGTTTGACCCTCTTCTGTTCTCTTTCTTGACTTGGACTTGACCCTTTTGTTGTCTGGATCTTGATTAAGACTTGAGTCTCTTCTGGTCTGTCTTGACTCGGGTTTGACCCTCTTCTGGTCTCTGTCTTGACTCGGGTTTGACCCTCTTCTGGTCTCTTTCTTGACTTGGACTTGACCCTTTTGTGGTCTGGATCTTGATTAAGACTTGAGCCTCTTCTGGTGTGTCTTGACTCAGGTTTGACCCTCTTCTGGTCTCTGTCTTGACTCTGGTTTGACCCTCTTCTGGTCTCTGTCTTGACTCGGGTTTGACCCTCTTCTGGTCTCGGTCTTGATTCTGGTTTGACCCTCTTCTGGTCTCTGTCTTGATTCTGGTTTAGACCCTCTTCTGGTCTCGGTCTTGACTCGGGTTTGACCCTCTTCTGGTCTCGGTCTTGACTCGGGTTTGACCCTCTTCTGGTCTCTGTCTTGACTCGGGTTTGACCCTCTTCTGTTCTCTTTCTTGACTTGGACTTGACCCTTTTGTTGTCTGGATCTTGATTAAGACTTGAGTCTCTTCTGGTCTGTCTTGACTCGGGTTTGACCCTCTTCTGGTCTCTGTCTTGACTCGGGTTTGACCCTCTTCTGGTCTCTTTCTTGACTTGGACTTGACCCTTTTGTGGTCTGGATCTTGATTAAGACTTGAGTCTCTTCTGGTGTGTCTTGACTCAGGTTTGACCCTCTTCTGGTCTCTGTCTTGACTCTGGTTTGACCCTCTTCTGGTCTCGGTCTTGACTCGGGTTTGACCCTCTTCTGGTCTCTGTCTTGACTCGGGTTTGACCCTCTTCTGGTCTTTGTCTTGACTCTGGTTTGACCCTCTTCTGGTCTCTTTCTTGACTCTGGTTTGACCCTCTTCTGGTCTCGGTCTTGACTCGGTTTAGACCCTCTTCTGGTCTCGGTCTTGACTCGGGTTTGACCCTCTTCTGGTCTCTGTCTTGATTCTGGTTTAGACCCTCTTCTGGTCTCGGTCTTGACTCGGGTTTGACCCTCTTCTGGTCTCGGTCTTGACTCGGTTTAGACCCTCTTCTGGTCTCTGTCTTGACTCGGGTTTGACCCTCTTCTGGTCTCTTTCTTGACTTGGACTTGACCCTTTTGTGGTCTGGATCTTGATTAAGACTTGAGTCTCTTCTGGTGTGTCTTGACTCAGGTTTGACCCTCATCTGGTCTCGGTCTTGACTCTGGTTTGACCCTCTTCTGGTCTCTGCCTTGACTCTGGTTTGACCCTCTTCTGGTCTCTGTCTTGACTCGGGTTTGACCCTCTTCTGGTCTCTGTCTTGACTCTGGTTTGACCCTCTTCTGGTCTCGGTCTTGACTCGGTTTAGACCCTCTTCTGGTCTCGGTCTTGACTCGGGTTTGACCCTCTTCTGGTCTCTGTCTTGACTCTGGTTTAGACCCTCTTCTGGTCTCGGTCTTGACTCGGGTTTGACCCTCTTCTGGTCTCTGTCTTGACTCAGGTTTGACCCTCTTCTGGTCTCGGTCTTGACTCAGGTTTGACCCTCTTCTGGTCTCTGTCTTGACTCGGGTTTGACCCTCTTCTGGTCTCGGTCTTGACTCGGGTTTGACCCTCTTCTGGTCTCTGTCTTGACTCTGGTTTAGACCCTCTTCTGGTCTCGGTCTTGACTCAGGTTTGACCCTCTTCTGGTCTCTGTCTTGACTCGGGTTTGACCCTCTTCTGGTCTCGGTCTTGACTCGGGTTTGACCCTCTTCTGGTCTCTGTCTTGACTCAGGTTTGACCCTCTTCTGGTCTCTGTCTTGACTCGGGTTTGACCCTCTTCTGGTCTTGTTCTTGACTCGGGTTTGACCCTCTTCTGGTCTCTGTCTTGACTAAAACTCTGGGCTCTTCTAGTCTTGCTCTTGACACAGACTCATTCTACTCAGGTCTTGGCCTGGACTCAGACTCAAATGAGCTGGTCTACACTACAACATTGCTAAGTGTTTTTTTTTCCGCCAGCGTTTTCGTGACCAATCGACATTGTCAAAGCTGGTGAGGCACATCTTGATGCACTGTATTTGAATGTAGAATAACACCTGAATTTGGAGAGCCTGTTTCCATTTATTTTCATTATATGAAAAATACATTATTTGAATCATACCGTTTTGGAACAATTTAAAGGTGAGTAAATTAAGACAGAATAAAAGAATTTTAGATTTTGGGAGAACTGTTTCTTTTTAGTAGTAGTACAAAATATTGACTGATTGCCTATGAAATGTCTCTTAGAGATATCAGACCTATACCACAATCTATACATACATTTAAACAATGATCACTGAATGGTTGTTTCAAACAATGACGCCCAACAAATAATTCATGCACATAACATTTCAGTGGCTAACACTGCAATAATATTAATAATGCAAGTACTATAGATTCCAAGCACCTTGGTTATTCTTGATATATACTGGAAGAGTCCACTATATAGTTTGTATACAGTAGATTATGGTTTCCACAGTGAGCTAAAAGCTAGTGAGAACCATCACTTCTGTACAGAGGACATGGGTTATTGGTTTCCTGGCTTGGAGAGGGTTCTGATTGGTTGACATCAAGAGTTACCTGAGGTGGAGTTGTGACTCAAAGTGAACATTCATCCACAAGCAGTGATTAAGAAAAACAAACTGACTCTGAAAGGATGATGAGTGATTACAATTACAGGGCATAGCTAGCTCTTATGAAGAGAACACATGAATACAGAAGGCTTTCGGCTGCCTCTTGCTGCCTCGATTGACTCCTATAAGGGCAACTCTACCTTCTACCTAAGGAGGATGGTGGATTCTTGGCATGACCCCATGGAATTAGAACATGAGGAAGGCTGGTGTGGTGTGTCCAGCCGGCCTCAGTTCCCGTTTAGCAGCATCTCAGGTCCTGGACTGGGGCGCGGGGGGTCTCCGGGCCTGGGCGAGCACGTCCTCATCTGAATATTCCCCATATTGAGGCCTCCAGGAGAGAGGGTCTTTCTGTAATGTCATAAGAGAAATAATAAAATTATAGCTCTTATTAATATAAATAAATGATCAACTATTAAAAGGGAAGAGAAAATGCTTCCCACAATAATTTGTTGTTGATCTCAAAGATTTTTGCATTCACACAATTATACATTTTCCTTTTTAGCCTCAGTCATATTAACTCTTTTCCTGCCAATGACGCAATTTTCTGTCATTAATTAAACAACATTTCCCCACCATTGACGGAATTTTGCGGGTTTCTATGTTTTCACTGTTATGCGACAGGGGGCGCTATTAGACATCTTCTGAGAGAGAACAGAATCTCCTGATCAAAAAACAGCTGAAGAAGCATAAACATGTAATCATATGCATATGTAAAATAACGGATCAACAACATTCAACAGCATATAAATCAAAACTGCCTATTGCTCCCGAATTAAATGTCGACCCAGAACAAGCTATGGGACTGTGCAAGCATTAAAGGATTAGTTCACTTTTGAAAAAACTTTTGCTGATAATTTACTCACCCCCATGTCATCCAAGATGTCCATGTCTTTCTTTCCTCAGTCGAAAAGAAATTAAGGTTTTTGATGAAAACATTCCAGGATTTTTCTCCTTATAATGGACTTCCATGGGAACCAGGTCCAACTGAGGTCCAAACGACAGTTATAACAGTTTCAGATGCAGCTTCAAATGTCTTTAAACGACACCAAACGATGAATAAGGGTCTTATCATGTGAAACGATCGGTTATTTCAAAGCTTATTCCAAAAATGTAACTTTTCTAAGGACAAATGCTAGCCTTGTAATATATTGTGAGGCGAGTTTGCAATGTCACGTAATACGTAATTACGTTCAAAAGGTCACGGGCGACGTAGCCGGAAGTACAGAATCAAAATCGTCCGACATCGTTGTTTTACCTTTTAATTCCTTTTTTGTAAACGCCGTTTGAGTTAGTTTTCACGTTCAACCTATGCGTTCAACTTGTAAACACTCTGACTCTGTACTTCTGGCTACGTCGCCCGTGACCTTTTGAACGTAATTACGTATTACGTGACGTTGCAAACGCGCCTCACAGAATGGAGAAAGGCTAGCATTTGTCCTTAGAAAAGTTACATTTTTGGAATAAGCTTTGAAATAACCGATCGTTTCGCATGATAAGACCCTTATTCATCGTCTGGTGTCGTTTAAAGACATTTGAAGCTGCATCTGTAACTGTTATAACTGTCGTTTGGACCTCGGTTGGACCTGGTTCCCATGGAAGTCCATTATAAGGAGAAAAATCCTGGAATGTTTTCATCAAAAACCTTAATTTCTTTTCGACTGAGGAAAGAAAGACATGGACATCTTGGATGACATGGGGGTGAGTAAATTATCAGCAAAAGTTTTTTCAAAAGTGAACTAATCCTTTAAGGGTGTTGATAAAAAAGAAAGAAATGTGAAAGAATCCTGACATCAAAAAAGCAACCAATATAGATGCACCTGATATTGACTACAATCAAACTGATCCGATTTCATTACGTGCGAAATGACAAGCAAACAGTCTTAAAAATATGGATTTGAAAACAGAATCAGGTTTGTGTGCAGTGTCAACAAAGCTCTGCTTACCTGAATGCCATCTTCTTCATAAGGTGGTTGTTCATTCTCTCAGGCAAGTTGTTTTCCAACTGAGACCTGGATGCTGGATCACCGAAGACTGCAGAGAGGTGGATGTTCTGGGAGCGGCTTTGCGTTTCAATTGAGTCCTTTAGATTATACAAGCAGTTAAACACTAAACAACACAAAAACCGACAAACGCCATGTATGCATGTATGAGTCTAAATGTTACCTCAGAGTTGCAGTCCTGTGTCTCAGTGTCCTCCATGTCCAGCGCGGAAAGCTCCAGCTCGATGTCTCTGTCAGGCTCACTCTCCATCCCATCCTTCTCCAGCAGATCTATGCCCTGCTTTGACCCGCTGCTGAAGGAACTACGCCTTACATGCAGCCCGGGCATGGCCAGCTGATCGCTGAGAAACACAGACACACACACTGAGCTCTGAAACATACCGACACTTCAGTACACAAATCAGTCGGCTCTGTTGTTTGGTGTTCTCAGACTAGAAACTCAATTTTGAGATCAGGTGAGAGGTGTACTCCCACTCAGAATCTGCCCTATGAGTAATCATCATTGACACCAAAAAGAAAAGGAGGACATGCTTTTTTCAAAAGTAAATTCAGTTTGCAAAGTGTTTGTGTTCACTACTCACTACTCCTAATGTGTGGATGGATTAAATCCAGAGTACAAATTCCGAGTATGGGTTACCATATTTTTTACACATTATCAGTGGTGCAAAAGACATTGACAAAGTTGATTTCATGGTAAAACATAAAATGCTACAATAAGGCCCTGGATATGACTTGTGTGTGTTAAGGAGACACTATTAAATGTAAGTCTTCAATGCTGTGTGTGAGGGCTTTGCTAACACAAACGAGTGGAGCTGTGTTCCGGCTGCTGCTCTATTTTTAGAATGGTACAGCGAGACGACTATGGCACGGTGGGATGGGGATGAAGACTGGGAAACACTTTTCAGACTACTTGTACAATGTTCCCGACAATACAGTAAAATTAATGTACAAATGACACTAATAATGATTTATTCATGCATGACATTGCTATGATTGTTCACTGGAGCAAGTCAAAAGAATCCACTCCCACTCTAAATATGGCTCAGGTGCCTCCTTCAATGCAAATCTATGAGCTTTTTAGTTTGGTACCTCTCTAGAAAGCTGGAGTGACTAGAGGAATCAGAACCACGAGGACCCCATCTGAGGTCGTTGTGACCAATATGGCAGCCATAGTCTGTAAAGAAAAGAAAACACAAATCACTCTCAAAGAGACAAAGAAATTCAGAGTCAAAAGCATAGCAAACCAAATAATGTCTAACCTCTGAAGTTGATTGATGTGGTGCTGGCGCACCCCTGCGATGCAGTGGCCTGGACCGGGTCAGTGGTGTGAAAGCCAGTGCGGGAAGCTCGGGAGATAGCTCCCCATTTAGAGATAATGGGCCCCTCTCCAAAAGGAATGATGGGATCTTCTTCTTTCAGTCGCCTGTAGGGTTCGAACATGTGCAGCCACCGCTTGCCACCACTCTCCTCGTCCTGAGGACAGATAATTAGATATCCATTAGGAGCCATATCAACAGTGAATCAACAGAAATGTGTTGTTAATCAAAGAGTGATTCAGTGTGATGTGCAGTGACTCCACTTGTGCTTGTTTCATATTAATTTTTAATTCAGTTTGAGAAAACGTAAATGTGTTATATGCTAAGCATATTTAAGTGTAAATCAGTGCAAATGTGATCTGAAGTGACTCCACTTACACCTGTTACACTACACATTCATAGTATTTTTGAAGGAATATTGATTCAGCTTAAAGGAATTAACAGGAATGTGTAACTGGGTAAGAAAATATAAATCAGTGTGAATGTTATTTGAAGTGACTCCATTTGTATCTGCTAAACATTAGTTTGGTGTTGTAGAGCATGTACAATAAATTAGAAATAAAGCAATGTGAATATTATCTAAAGTGACCCCTCCTGTACCTGCTACAATACATGTTCATTTTTAATTTAGTTTTAGAGAATTAATAGTAATGTATTTGGAAAGCAAATTAAATCAGTAAATCAGTGTGAATCTAAAGTGACTCCACTTATATAACATATTTATGTTGATACAGTTTGATGGAAACAATAGAAAAGTGTTACTGAGTAATCTAATTTAAGAATGAATCAATGTGAATGCGATCCGATGTGACTCCGGTTGTGCTCTCTACAAATTACTTAGTAACTTATTATATGGTAAGCAAATTGAAAAGTATATCAGAGTGAATCTAAAGTGACTCCATTTATGCAACACTTTTATGTTGATAAAGTTTGATGGAAACAATAGGAAAGTGTTACTGAGTAATCTAATTTAAAGGCACACTATGCACTCTCTGGTTTTTTTGTAAAACAGTGACCTCTAGAGCCGCTGTGGTGTACTTGCACTGTCGTAAATAACCGTTATTCCCCTGTTACTGCATATACTGTCAAGTGCTAGACTGCTTTTTAATAATAAAGTTGCCTATCGCGTTTGCTGGCTTATAGCGTTTTTACATGATTTCTGCAAAATCAGAAGTAAATAGCCTATAGTGTATAGGCTACTGTATAATTTCATTCATGTTTTTTGATTGTAATGTTAAAATTACAAAATGTCAGATGACATCAATCAAGTTAAATGTACGTCGCATTATTTCATAACATTGGACGTTATGATTTAGACATGATTACAATTTATCATAATAGCAAATTGTGTTCAATTATTTACAACCTCTAGGCTTATATATGTCCTAATAATTATGTGAGATATTGACTATGTCCTCATGGTAATCGCAAGAATCAACATCAACAGCGTCAAGATTTGATTGATTCATAATCAACACAATTTGAAGTTACAGTCGGGAAGTGTACTGTTAGTCAGATAAACTTGATATAACAGTAACTTACACACGTCATAAGAAATCCGAACCAGACACAGGACTAAAGATACGTGATAAATACACATCACAACACCTGAGTTCAGCTGGCAAACTAGCTCTTGTGGCAAGCTCGGCAATAAAACATAACGGAAAAAACAACAAGACTAAGAGAAACGACTGTTTTTAGGAAGTCTGCTTAAAGCTCTGGTAATCGAAAGCTATAGACATGTGAGAATTATTGAACTGGTCTTATTATCAACAACGGATGAATGAACAGCACCGTAAAAAATTACATACCACAAGCCAGTGCAGCAACATACAATATAGAAACAACTAGTATACAAATACAAACAAGTTTATAAATAAGAGATTTACTTACAAGTCCATCAACAAGATCGCCAGGTCAGCATCGCAGTTACAATCCAGTGCAGCTTTTAAGCTCGCGCCAACGAGTGAAAGCCCGACCGAGTGGACTCTTGTCCGGTTTCTAGCACGGTCCGATTCTCTTTCCCTGTTTCGAAAGTAGCTTCATACAGTATGATGTTGTTGATGCGTGTGACGTCGTTGCCGTAAACCATTTCGTGATTCTCACGCGCTGTGTCAGGGGCGCCACTCTCAAACTTGCATGGCTGGTTTTTCCGGCGGCGTCCCCCCCAAGCTTTCCTACCAGGATGATTCGCCCTACTATGACTTTGTTAACCACCAAAACGACTTTGAAGCTGTTATATTAAGGTACAGATCTTGCATAGAGTGCCTTTAAGAATGAATCAGTGTGAATGCGATCTGAAGTGACTCCAGTTCAGAAGTGAGCTCTCTTCACATACATTTTTAATTCAGTTTGAGGGAATCAAAAGGGATTTGTTAAAGAATAAGCTAATTTATAAGTATGTAATTATACTGTAATATCATATACTGTATGTATATCATATACACACATAAACAATCATAATACTGTACTGTAATAATTATACTGTAATGCTATATTTGTAAATGTGATCTGAAATGACTCCTCTCGTACCTGTTTTATATTCAGTTTGATGCACTTTAAAGGAAATGACAGAAATGTGATATTGAGTAAGCAAATGTAAAAGTAAATGTGCTCTAAAGCGACCACTTACTAGCTGTTTGGAAGAGGAGTGGGTTGACAAATGGTGGGGCACTGACTCAAACGGGCTGATGGTGCTGCACGACCAGGGCGAATAGTGGGCAAGACTCTCTTCTCCACCATGACACTTACAAGTCATACGCCCACCACCTACACCCTCAGGATGCTAAAGGAGGAGAAAGAGAGAGATGACAACATTCTCTCTCACACCCACTCGTGTGCAACAGGCTGCCAGAATTAAAAAATGGGGGTGGAAAGAAACAATGCAAAGTGACTCAGCCTCCGTGGTGCCAAATCTTTCTCTGAGAGTTCATGCGTTTCAAAGCGCTTGTGCGCACACACAATTTTCAGGACAGAACTGCTACTTGCTTTGGATATATCAGTTGCTGAGCAACAGATCCACTTAAAATAGCTTAACACACCTCATAAAGGCGACTGCAGCTTTATTGCCAAAGTTATTATTCGAAGACTAATCTGATTTAACACCGCTTTAGCACGATGCAGACATGTGTTGTAGTTTTCCCAGGATACACACCTCTAAAAACACCATATCACAGAGCCGTACCTCTGGACACACATCCACAGTGAAGACTGGAGAGGACTGGGAGGGCCTGTTCATGTTGCCGTGGTGATGTACCCACTGTTCCTGTTTCTGGCGATAGAGTTCCTCATAGCCAAGAGGAACACGGGCATATGCGTCCTACAAAAGACAGAAAAGAAGTTTTAAACTTCTCCATTCTCATGATGAAACAGCATAATCACCTATTTAACATTTAAGAGTGAAGGGTGTAATTTTTCAGCAACCAGCGTTATACAAATAATGTTTTGTTTTTGTTTTTAAACCTATCACAACAAAAACCGAGTGACCGACAAAATGTCTTGTCACACTCAGCTGCTGACAGTTGCCATTGGTTACAACTCAAATTAACATGGAAGAAAAATTCCACCTGACACTCTTTTTATATAAAAGAGCCAATAAACAGTGTTGGGGAAAGTTACTTTTAAAAGTAATCCAATAGAATATTAAGTTACTCCCTATAGAACTTACTAATTGCATTACTTACTTTTACATCATTTTTGCGTTACTCTTTCTTTTTACTGAGCTTAAAAAGAGCAAAATCCAAATGTAACGGCCCTTTCACACCAAAAGTAAAATGTCACAACCAGTGACGTAGGTTTACAAGTTAGACATGCTGCTGCTGTACAATAGTGTACATGAATTATCCATGGCAGATCTATACAGGTGGAACTGGGGAAGGTGGAGGGTTTCTGAAAGCACACTGCAAACTGCTACAGTAAATGCTGACCAAATACTTAAACAGGTGATTGGCTACTGATACAGCAGGAACCAACCAGCTGTGCCTTGTAGAGAATGATGTGATTGCAGGAAGATTGAGTTAACAGTCAGCCTGCGCCATCTAGAGTTTACACGAGAACGCTCGCGGGTGAAAACGTAAAAATATTTTATCGGATGTGCCTTTCGTTTACACGGCGACGGTGTTTTTGGGGCTTAAAAATGCAAAAAAGTGAAACCACCCTCCAGAGTGGAAATCTTTAAAACGCTCCACCGCCGCATTCCCGTGTAAACGGTAAAAACGCAAAGCTCTGCTTGACAGTGAAGGTTGTACGCCTGCGCTTGGTGTTGTTGTAGTATGCACTCTTATCCGCCTGGAATGCATACTACAGTGAATTTCACAAACTTTTCCATCACCATCTGCACGCGAATTTCACACCCAAAACGATCGTCTAAACGCAGAATAAAAAGTGATAACGAAACGCCACTTTTGCGTTTTCTCTTCAGAATCGTTTCCGTGTAAACATAGCCTTACTCTACAATTTCTCTCAATATGGGGACAGGAGAGGTGCCAGTCAATAAATGAGAACACAAAGTAACTTGTAATCAGATTATGTAAAAAAAGTAATCTGATTATGTAACTTGCGTTACCCCCAACACTGCCTATACAATAAGATGTGACATAATGAAACGTGCCCTGTGCATTGCCGCTCTCTGCTCCGCTGTGCTGCAGGGGCTGTCCAGCGAGTTGTAGCGCTCCCGGAGCGGGGGCTGGTAGACGGCGGAATGGAAAACCTCAGGAGGGAGAGAGTTACTTCTCCCCCCCTCCCTGGGATACAGCGCCGGCCTCCACGCGCGCCTGCTGTCGTAGACCGGTGTGTACATGCCGTGCGCCTGAGCAGGGGACATAGAGGTATAGGTGGAGGGGGGCCCATAAGAGCCAGGGCCTAATCTGTCCGGAGGAGGAATAGAGGGGTGCTGATCTGAGTACAGAGGGCCCATTGAAGGGGGTAACATAGACTCCGGCACGTTGCTGGAACGATGGAAGCGAGCACTGCATGACCTGTGAGGAGGAACTGTGGAGGAAAAACAGAAGTCAGTGAGTGTAATGGAGCATATTATGCCACAAGTAAGATTGTCGCTTACTGGCAGGCTGGTGGTAGGGTGACAGGTCATATGTTCTCTGGTCCTGAGAGTGGTAAATCTCAGGGTGAGCTCTCGTAAGGACAGGACCGTGTTTAAGGAGCCCTTCCTCTACCTCTCTTACCAAGGCTATCGCAGAAGACTGACTGTGATTGATGGGATTTCTGGAAAAGAAACAGCTTCCATAAGAATCAAAGATGGACAAAGAAATACACCTTAGAGAATTTAGAGAGAAATGTCACATTCATGTTTGGCTCTCAATTCGTTACTTTTTTTTCATTAATTTTTTTTTAAATGTTTTTCACCATTAGCATGGTAACACATTCAGTTCCTTTTTTTTAAAAAACGAAACTAAATAACATAACATAATATCATTATTATTATATTCAATTATACATTTAAACAAGCAATTTTTTAAGTGGTCAACATTTTAAGTGGATCAAAACCTTTCATCAAAGTTAAACATAAATTTTGAACAATGCCCGTTCTTTTTTTGAACTTTTTTGATCCACTTCAAATGTTGACTACTGTATATTACTAGATTTATAATATTATAGTACTTTGAAATAAAAAAAATAAGTATTTATAATAATAATCATTTTACAGACAATTTTTAAAGTAAAATTACAACAATACTAACATTTATGACTTATGTCTTAAATGCTTTCAAACGTTAAACCATGGCGCTTCTTATTTTGGCGCAAAACTCCAGGAAGACCTCAAAACTTCTGTTTTGTTGACAGATTTATAAACACAATTGCAGATTACAAGTGATCTACACAAATGATTTTGGCATCAAAAGTGTGATTTTGATTAAAAACTTTGCATCACTGACAACTCCAAGTTCAACCGCATTGAAAAGTAACAGTACACCTCTGCATCACTCAAGGCTGTAGCACAAATGCAGCCGGGGTTAAGCACTAAAGTTCGTTCAAATCAATTGCGGTAAGTATGAGCTTTAGTAACAGTGATGCTTGCCTTGGCACACAGAACTTACTGTTCTAGGCTGATAGCAGGCAGTCCGTTAGCACCATTGAGGAGTGTTTTTTCCTCCTGGTGGTCTCCTCCTCTTGGGATGAGCTGAGTGGGAGACGTGTCCTCTTTCTCGTGGCTCTTCACCTCTGACCCTGGGACTACTCCTTTGGTGTTGGCTTTTGGCATAACTGCTGGAACTGACAGAAAAGGCCTCACCACCCCACTTGCTTTCCTATTCCTCATTCTGTGCCTAAAAGAAAGATGTAGAGAAAATGTGAGGAAGGGAAGGTGTGAGTGTGTGTGTGTGTGTGTGTGTGTGTGTGTCTGTGTGTTCTCACTTCTCAAGCTCTTCCTGCGTGTGGGCAAAAGTGCAACTGGCCCCTCTCGGACAGCCGCCCTGCTGCCGTAAGTCCCTGCACATACTCGTCTTGTACTTGCTGTTGGGTTGAGCCTGAACAAAGAGAACAGCATACTGTGTCAGAAAACTTTAACGATCAGCCAAAAAAAAAAAAAAAAAAAAAAAAAAAAGATTGGTCTTTCATAGCCCAGGAGACTTAATGGATATTATTTATTCAAGTATCAAAATTGTGTCAGAAGCTTCTTTCAAAATGCCTTTGGTGAAATAATAACAGATACAAATGGGTCAATAGTTGACGTACTGTATAAGTATTGAGTATAGAGATATTAAATTATGGCTGCGATAATTTGTGACCTGCTCCATCATTTGGAGACCCAGAAATACATTTATACACGAATATTCATTGAATTCATGAAATCGCTTGTTACTGTCTACCTTGTCAAAGGGATGTAAGGAAGGGAAAAACGGATGCTGTGTTAATGAATTAAAATTTTACCGCATTAAACAGAAAATATGAATTGCAGAAATTAACACATTATTTTTGACAGACCTAAATGTTTACATTTTGGTAAGCTTTGCGTTATCTTTTAACTAAACCTCTTTAGAGGTACGACAGGTATATTTATCAGCCACTACATTAAACATTATTGTAACCATTTTTAATGTTTGAATTTCCTGATTGAATTGACATAATTTCAAAGCTTTTTGCATTTCGGGAAGCTGTACCTAAATACACTGTACGAATTTTTTGGGATTGAAATATCCCAAAACCAATACACTGTTAAAAAATATTTTCATGATTTGTAATCACAACAATTTTTTCTTTTGTCAAATCAACTTAGATAATTTATGAAGTTCAGATCATATTTAATATTTTATACATAATATTTTGAGTTTCTGATGATATTAATCTCTGATCTCTCTGGTGAAACTAATCTCTAAATTGTATTAACTCAATTTCAATGAACTCAAATTTTAAGGCAACCAGGTTACTTATATTTTTTTAAGTTAAACCAACAATATTTTTTAAATGTTATATGATTTGTTGACTTGTAGACTATTTCCCCAAATGTTTCCAGCAATGTTTAAATTCAGAGAAATCCTCAATTTTAACCAGTTTAACGGCTCGTATCATTGCGTCACCTGTCAATGCATCACAGTACCCTTGATTTACAGTTTTATTTCCGTAGGCTATTTCATTAAAATGAAATAAAATAATGTGATTGTAAGTGATCAAACTCAAATGTAATAAAGCTCAAGTTCAGGGAAGAGTGAGGCGGGAACCGGCAAAAGTTCAACTGTAATCGTAAAATAAACATAAACAACAAAACGAAAGGAGCGGCAGCCGCGACCGCGGCATATAAGCATAAAAAACCTCCAGAGCCCGTGTGACTCGAGACTGGTGTGTCGCACAGGTCTCTGTTTCTCATTAGCACCGGTATCGTTCCGCACCCACGGCTCTCGGCCCCGCCCTGCTTCATACCACAGTAACGTTAATAAAACTTTAATACATTAGCTCATCCATGTACATTATTTCTGCCTGAGTCCCATCGGATTTATTTCCATAGGCTGTGGCGGTGAAGACGACAGCTCCCATGATTTCATGCTCATTCACGGCATCATCAACCTTTTCTTATGGTTTTGAATAAGTGACCTCTAGCGGTAAAACTTGCATACTGTGCCTTTAAAGTGATGTAAAATGAATGTATTGAGCAGAATTCATCCTGAATCAGTGTGATGAGAGATCAGGCCATACCTGAGGGCTTTCACTGCTCTTCTTGCTGAAGTTTTGGATGAATTCCACCAGCCCGTGAACAACAACCTTCACGGCCAATAACACGCTCTCCAGCTCTGCCCAGGATGGGGCGGCCGCATCTACACAAACACACATGTTATTGCACAGGTTATTGCTCTGTAATCTGATTGTGTTTGCACCCCTATGGAAGTGCGAGTACGCATCCTCACCAGGGTTGTGGTCGATGCCGGCCAGCCGCTCGAGAGGAGCTCTGAGGCTGTTGAGGTTGGCTGGGTCTCCTGTTCTCTGCAGGATTATGGTGAGCTCTTGGACGCTCTTTGCAAAGGATTCTGGGGATTGAAGCTATGGGGTTGGGGTGGAAAAGGACAAATGCATTCAGATCTCCACCAAAGAGAAAATGTGCCAAACATATTCAACTAAAACATTACATTTTAATGCTTCATTACATTTTAATTATTGAATTATTATTTAATCATATATTAAAAGAAATACCAAAAAGATAACTATTTATTAACACTTATATCATATATATATATACCTACACCTATAAATATATATTCTATTAATTCTAGTAAGCTAACCTATATTATATGTAATTATAAAATGGCTAGTTCCAATTCTTGATTCTGATATATTATAATATTTTTATTGTGTGGTAACCGTTTTATAAAAGCAGCAAGCAAACGTTAAATTGATCAAAAGTGACAGTAACGTAATTTATATTGTTACAAAAGATATATATATATATATATATATATTATATACAGTTCATTGATTTTTCTATTCATCAAAGAATCCTGAAAAAAAAAACTTTTATTGTGACTTAAAAATCTGAAGCAGCACAACTGTTTTCAACATTGATAATAATAATAAATGTTTCTTGACAATCAAATCATCATATTAGAATAATTTCTCAAGGATCATGTGACACTGAAGATTATAATAATGGCTATTACTCCACACACTCTATACACACAGTACCTTGTCTATGATGGACTGCATGTGAGATTTGTGCATGAGATCCCCGTACAGCAGAGACGACCACTGCTCGGGTGAGATCCGCAGTCCCGCTTCCATGGCGATGTGAACGATCTGAGCGTCGTGTTCGCGGCGCAGGGCTTCGTAAGTGCGAAACTCCTCTTTGAGCTGCATGAGTGAGGAGTCTTCATCACGTTTGGTCACCTGAAAGACAACATAAAGAGGAATGGCATGTCTGTGTACAACACACTCGAATTCTCCAAATAAGCAACACTGATTAATGTTCGATGTTAATGATCTCATTAAGATGATTTATTTCATAAGCTGCAACAGTAAATCAAGCCCCAGTGAAATATTCCAGCTCATTTACAAACATCAAGCTGTTTAGATGCATATCAAGACTGCATTAGATACTCCCATTGACGAGCACTTTATATCCACATAATATCAAGTTACGTCAGGCTTAACACATTAGATAACTCTTTTCCTGTCTATTCAAGCCGTCAGGGGCTTCATACTGAGAGTAATGGCTGTTAAGTGATCAGCGGTTTTAGCGCAATCACTGCGTGAAGCTGATTTTAGCTCTGACCTTAAAGCAGGAGGCACGGTACAGCAGCTGAACCACGTGACCAATGCTGGTCTTAGACGCCTGGGGGAACCGCGCTTCCAGTTTCTGCACCACGAACAGCACCAGAACCTTCCGCGAGAGAGCCGAGCCGTCCTCCAGAGCCAGCAGCACCAGCTTCAAAGCATCCTCCTGCATGGCTGCAATATATATATACATATATGGACAAATACACACAGTTAGTGCTGTGATCAGTGTGTGCTCGGTCATGTTGAAGGAATGGATTTATGCTTTGGATGTTCTCAGACTAGAAAACTCAAATGGAGATCACATGTTTTCACAATCAGAATCTGCCCTATGAGTAATCATCATTGACAGCCAAGCACAAAGGCATATTTGAACATTCCCTTCACATTTTAAAGGAAAATTTTGGGTTATTTACAACTTTTTTTGCATCTAGTGACAGACTATAATCTCAGCAGGCTGATTAATCAAACCATATATGGGCATTTTAAGATTATTAGAATCACATTAAAAAAATTAAAAACAAATAAATAAAATAAAATAAATAAAAACAAATAAATAAATAAATATGATCACATGTATTTTTTAAATATGTAATGTATTTATTCCTGTGATCAAAGCTGAATTTTCTGCATCATTACTCTAATCTTCAGTCACATGATCCTACAGAAATCATTCTAATATGCTGATCTGATAATCAAGAAACATTTACAATTATTGTTAGTTATTAATATTAATGTTGGAAACAGTTGTGCTGCTTAATATTTTTTTTGGAAACCATGAAGATTCTTTGATTCTTCTGATGATAGAAAGTTCAAAAGCATTCATCTGATATATAAATCTTTCGTAACATTATAGATGTCTTTGCTGTCACTTTTGATCAATTTAATGCATTCTTATTGAACAAAATTATTCATTTCTTAAAAAAAAAAAAAAATTCTGACCAAACTTCTCATTGGTAGTGTATCTATTACATTATTTAAAACTACATATGAACTATTAATACACCATAACAACTTAGGAACTAAGTAAAAATAGGACAAACTAAGGAAAATAGGACAAACAGACATTTTACCCTTAACTTACTAACCTAGCGACAGACTTGTAAATGAATAATAATCCATATCAGTTTTTCTGAGATGTGTAAATCTTTTTCACTGTCATTAGATTTAACTATGCATTATCTGCATTATACTTTACTCTCTAGACATAACTATCAGCATTGGCCTTGTCAAGTCGACACAGACAGCAACAACCATAGATAATGTGAAGTTGTCTAATTGTCCTTTTGGAAAAAAGTTTGAAGCATCTGGTCATATTATTCAGAACACAGAAGAGTCCTTTATGGACAGTTGTCACATCCCTTCCGATTCCTTCACTGTATCCTCTTGCAGATTATTGAATCAAATGAATCAGATTTACATAAATTGAAATATTGGATATAAATTTGCACTAAGTTGTAGATAACCCGAAATATGCAAAAAATAACCAGGTCTGTATCTTCAACGATACATATTTAAAGGGGTCATGACTTAGATTTTTTTTAAATCTGTTCACTTCACTTACGTGATATGTTAAATGATATGTGGGAAATGATTATTTTCAACCCATTTGTCTGAAATGATCTGTTTTTAAGGGACAGCTTCTTTAAGGCTTGTCAGTAAACGGCAACTGTTTTGATTGGCTAACGTCATTGCATAGAAAACAGTATCACTGCAGACTCGCTATCGAACGCGAGCAAGTGTTTTTAAAACATTATCCATATAAAACCATCATTTCCAGACAAAGCATTATGAAATCATCTGCTAATGGTTTGTGATGCAGCTGCTGTCAGATTCAACTAAAGCTTCTTTGCGAACTCTCCATTACATTGTCCTTCGTTTAGAAAAGAAAATGCTCTGAACAAACATATAATCCTTCGACACGATCCGGGACGCCCTCAAAATAACCAACACACACTTCTACACACTTGTTCTTTCACTCTTCCACGTGAAGTCCATCAGAAACTGAACACGCATCTGTGTACTGTATCCAGTGTAGACAGCGTCAGTTAATATAATGACTCTATTTGCTTTTGACGCAACTGTTGTGGGACAGAGGCGAGTCAGCGTTTTACATATAGACCTCATTAGATTATCTGAACATGATCCTCTCAAAGTTTGTTAATAAAACATGGATGAGACAAATATCCATATATGTATTGTTAATGAGACAAATAAGGATGTTGTAAGCTACAAAACTTGCAGGATGTTTAATGGTACAAGACCTCTAAATTTTATTTCTCATGTCATGACCCCTTTAATGAGGAGTAATAAAATGAAACAGTGCTAGAATGGTCACACAGAACTCACCCGGTCCAAGGAACTGGCAACCGCGTGCCCGCACGGCGGCCCATAGGTTGGCGGAGAGCTGCTGTGGGTTCTGGTGCTGCAGGATCAGTTCAGTGACGGTGCGCTCTCCCAGAGACCTGCACGCCCGGACCGCACGCATACGCCCCTCCTCCTCAACTAGCTGACAGTTCACCAGGGTCACCAGCTTCCTCTGCATGGGTCTACTGAGCGCGCTCTGACTGAGGGTCACTACACCTGTGTGGGAGAGCAGAATACAGTAACATTTATATGCATGATTCAAAGCTATAAATTAATGATCTTATCAAGAAGTTAATCCACAGTCCATAAATATCTCTGTGCGGCTGTAACATGCATATTTAACTTCAAATAAGTTACATTAAACTTAAAAAATGACTTATTTCAACTATTTTAAATATGTATTTGTATGAAAAAAATGTGTACAATACTATACTACACTGCACAGGGAATATTTTAATGTGCTCTTAGCTCTATTTCTTTTGTTTGAAATCATTTTATAACCATTTGTGTATATTTTAAACATTCAGTGAATTTCATTGCATTTATTGCATTTAAAATACCTGCATGCTTTTTTTTTGTATACATAATCATATACATATAAATATACATCTGAACAAACACATGTCAGACTGAAGTCAAAATATCCTTGATGCAATTAAATGGCAATTAAACGGGTAGATTACTTAATGTAGTCAGTTAATGATTCCAAATTACATGACAAAAGTAATCAGATCAATTATTTTAGGTAATGTATTCTGATTACGTTTTGATTACTTTTTAGATTACTTTTGACGTAACTCATTTATTGTCACATTGCTTTGAATAGGGTAATCTGGTACCACATTGATATAAAAAAAAATTATTTGTTATCAACAACATGAAGTGCATTAAATATTACATTAGGTCCGGGTCTCCCAGACTGGGGTTTGTGAGTTTAATGAAAAGCTATTAAGTAATTAAATCATAAAAATGTCAAATTTAAATAAATAATTTTAAAATAAAAACAATCAAAATAAATTATTTACAAAAAAATTGTTTTGTAATTTATTAACTTAATCTAAGGGCTTCAAGTAAATACCTATCAAGGAAAAGAGGTTCAGCTGACAAAAGAAAGACAAAATATGTATGCAATTATTCTCACAAAACTGGAAGACCTTCTGAGCATATATAACCAGTAGACTTAAAGGAATTAACACTTTGAATATAGCAAAGAAGTAGAAGCAATGAATTATGAATAATTGACTCATTGTAAGAATAACATGTAATCAATAGAAAAGTAACTGTTTTCTAATTCCCTACACTACAAGTAATTCATTTTTTTAATCAGATTATGTAATCCAGTTTACATGCAATCAGTTTCTCAGCACCGCCTTCCAGTTTATAGTTTTTGAGTTAATCTACAACTAATGCACTATATACAACAATATCTACTACTATTCTTACTTCCAGGAGCTGATAAACATCCCGAGGGTGAAAGTCCCGCGAGTCTTATGACTACAGCACACAGTAATACAGTGGAGGCTTGACAGAGGAGCTCTGATATGAGCACAAAGCTTGTCAATGAGGAGTTTAACAGCTTTAGCCTTTGGTGCCCCACTACTTTTATTGTCACTCAAATAAAACAGTCAATTGAGTCCTTAAACAGACTTTTCCGCCAGTTTCCGAGACAAGTCACAGAGACAAGTGTTTTATTAGCCTACAAAGAGTCTTTCTAGTGTTCAATATAGTCAACACAGCGTACAATTAATCAGTAAGAAATAAGTGATGTATGTAAAAACGCTCTGGGTGTGTTTTTACTGTTTATTAAGAATTGCTAAACATATCTGTATACATACTGTAAACAAATAAAAGTGAAGTGGCCTTTTCGGTTTCACACTTTTTTTGTTTTTTCCCACTGACGCAAATATCTCCAACCACATAAGATAAAGCGCTGAACAACAGGAAATGTTGCACTATTCTAATCTGAGCTCATTCAGCCGCAAACCTAAACAATAATGCAGCACTCACTGGTGTTGTTCTTGACATCGTACCTGTGTCATTCTCTTCGCACTCTCACCTTTTCCTCCGCTGATTGGTTTGAGATACAGAGCCAGCTCCTCCACACACATCCTGCACACTTCATAATGCCTCGTGTCTTCAGCACTGCCCACACTTACGATCTCTCCCTCCGGAACCTGCAGAGGATAAAAACAGACTTATACTGCGTGTCTACTGTACATCGTGACGTCACTGTAAAAAGCATCATTTTTCTGACCACTGGTGAAAATGACCTGAAGCTAAATTAAAATATTGCATTGGAACAATGAAAATAAAAATAAAAACATAAGAAATTCATTGGGATTTGATATATATATATATATATATATATATATATATATATATATATATATATTATCCCAATGTATAAAATATATTTAAATGGAAAACAATTATTTTAATCATATTGTAAACTATATTAAATATAAATTAAAAATATTACTGTATTTTGTTATATTTTTAACTAAACAAATGCAGCCTTGGTGAGCAGAAGAGACTTCTTTTAAAAACCTAAAAAATCTTACAGATCCAAAACTATATATAGACCATTTCACAAGATGTAAACAACACTGGTCCAGAAACACTTCCTGTTTCAGTTTGTAACTGTTTTCTTTATTTCACATGTAAAGAAAACATCTTAAAGATGTTTGTTTAACTTTTTGATTCAGTTTTAAATGTTCTGTTGGTTGTATTTTATCCCAGCTTTTATGTAGTGTTAAAAAAACTGAAACAGGAAGTGCTTCTGGACCAGTGTTGTTTACATCTTGTGAAATGGTCTATATATATATATTTTAAACTTCGTGCCCATTAAAGACACTGAAAATAAAGTGATAAAAAAAGTGTCATTTTAAGCTTCACAGCCCTGAAAGGCAACAACACTGGATTGATCTGATCTAACACAAAAACTCAACAGAAATCCTATCAATCTCCCAGCATGGTTCACTCACCGGCGCCCCCACCAGCTGCAGGAGGGCACAGTTGACAGGCAGCGCATCAATGTCAGTGCTAATGGCTGTCTGGTCGAAAGGACAGGCCTTGCGGTGCAGTTTGTGCAGGCAGGTCTTGCAGACGGTGTGCGAGCAGCCCAGGCTGATGGGCTTGTGGCTGCAGGCGTCAAACTCATTGTAGCAGATGGGGCAGGATAGAAACTCAGTCCATTGAGCTGCCTGCACCGGCATCCTGTGACCTCCAGGGGGAACTATCACGCTCGGGGAGATCGCATGCTGCCACGCCCCAGCGCCTTAAACACACCTGCGGAGAGAAGAACACATCGGGTCATGATGCTTTCACGCCATGTTGTAATCACCCTCATTTCGAGACGACAACACAAGTGATGTTGTACTCTGAGCAGTTCACATCCTCACATTGGGAATCAAGCGTTTTTATGGTAATACTATCAACGTCTAAATGAATCTACAGTGGTCAGCTGGTACAGCGGTCATATTGTGCAGGAGCTCTCAGAAAATTCCTAGTTTACAAGTCGTAATTGCGCTTTTTTCCAGTTGGAATCTCGTAACTTACGACATGGACCTTCATACACACTCATCTGTGCATGAAATTGGTTGTAAAGAACTTTTTTACGTTTACGTTTTTTTCTGAATTTACGGAAAATAACTGAAACTGCACAAACATACAATCACAAATTCCGTGTGGCCTTAAAATAATGTTAGGATGAAGTTTTATTTATATTTCATCTTTCATCATTTTACAATACTGTACTACAGAAGAGCTGCATTATTCTGGATAAATTGAGAATCACGACAGAGATTTAAACAGAGATCACGATTCTCCCACGAGTCTGAACAGACATCTAAACAAAATAACAAGTCATTTACAAGAGGTTCTGACAAAAATGTTAATTACTGCAGTCTATTTAAAATGTTTAATACATTTGGATGAATTTATTAAAAGAATCAGATTGAATGAATGATTCAATGACTCGCACGTAAAATACTTCATTTGTTTCAATACTGGATGATGAATCAGACTTTTTGAACGAATCTCGTTAACAAATATGTTTTTTAACAGCCACTTGTCGCCACCTACTGGTGTAATGATGTGATGATACAATCGTTATTTGAAGCACCACGTTTTTTAAAAGAACCAATTAATTTGAGAGTCATTTGTTCATGAGTCGGACTGCGTATAGGCCTAAGACGTGATTTTTTTTTTTACTTTTTCCAGTAAGCAACCACTAAAAACACCATTAGCAACCACTTAGCAACACACAGCATTATGGCACTAATTTTCTCTTTAAAAATGATCTTTCGCTCTCACTTTCCCCTTCTCTGATGTCATTTCTTCTTGCCATCACCTGTCAGCTGCACTGCAGGAATAAACTGTCTTGCTCTCTTTCATTCATGTTCTTCACATCTCCATGCACTCAAGCCCTCTCTCACTCTTTTTCTGTGTGTTTCTGAACTCCTCTCAGCCTGTTTGCTGCTTTTCAGGGACTTCCTGAAGGACAGAAGGTGAAGCAGATAAGAGTGATTTACAAACAGCCATCAACAGTATGTTGATTAAAACTCCATATTAAACACATTTCACAAATGTCAGGGAGAGGAACATATAGAAAGGACATTATTATCTTAAAAGTCTTAAAATGGACTTTATCTTCACCAGCTGCTCATGGCTCTTGTCGGAAGGTGTAAAATTACAGAGGTAAAATAAATCATTCATTCCCCTACTTGGACACTACACTCCAGCTAAAGCAGTACAATTCTGGACAAAAAATGATTTTTTTTGTTTCAAACAGAGATCACGATTCTCTCACCATTCTGAACAGACAACTACACAACATAACCGGCAATTGCTGCAATCTATTTAAAATTGTTGCATGCATTTATTTGAATGAATTCGAAATAAAAAAAATGATTCAATTAATGATTCAATGACTTATCCATCCAGACAGAGTTTTTGTACAAATCTTTCGAATAAATAATTCAATGCTAAATAAATATTTGAACAGTCACTTGTCGCCAACTACTGGTGTTACAATGTAACGATACAATCGTTATTTGAAGCATCAAGTTAGGTACTCTCAAACGGTGATTTTGATCGCTTCTGGAGACAACATTGTTTAATACAAAGTATAACTTTTATCAGTAACTGCTCTTTCTGGATCAGCGAACAAAGATCTGAATTTTGACATTTAGTAGACAGCGAATCGTGATCATTTAGGAATAAGATCATGTGGGTGTTTGAATTGAGATCACGATCTTTTAATGATTAATTGTGCAGCTCTAATCCCAGTTTACAGGGAACTTTCCCATAACTTTTCTTTAACGTTTTTTGAAGGTTGTGTAAATGTTTGGGCATAACATTCTTCAAATAATATGGAACATTCTCATACACTCACCTAAAGAATTATTGGGAACACCTGTACAATTTCTCATAATTATCTAATCAACCAATCACATGGCAGTTGCTTTAATGCATTTAGGGGTGTGGTCAAGACAATCTCTTAAACTCCAAACTGAATGTCAGAATGGAAAAGAAAGGGGATTTAAGCAATTTTGAGAGTGGTATGGGTGTTGGTGCTGCTGCTGCTTGAGCATCTGCTTAGTTACTGGGATTTTCACACACAACCATTTCTAGGGTTTACAAAGAATGGTGTGAAAAGGGAAAAACATCCAGCATGCAGCAGTCCTGTGGGCGAAAATGCCTTGTTGATGCTAGAGGTCAGAGGAGAACGGGCCGACTGATTCAAGTTGATAGAAGAGCAACTTTGACTGAAATAACCACTCGTTACAACCGAGGTATGCAGCAAAGCATTTGTGAAGCCACAACACGCACAACCTTGAGGCGGATGGGCTACAACAGCAGAAGACCCCACCAGGTACCACTCATCTCCACTACAAATAGGAAAAAGAGGCTACCATTCGCAAGAGCTCACCAAAATTGGAAAGACTGGAAAAATGTTGCCTGGTCTGATGAGTCTCGATTTCTGTTGAGACATTCAGATAGTAGAGTCAGAATTTGGCGTAAACAGAATGAGAACATGAATCCATCATGCCTTGTTACCACTGTGCAGGCTGGTGGTGGTGGTGTAATGGTGTTGGGGATGTTTTCTTGGCACACTTTAGGCTCCTTAGAGCCAATTGGGCATTGTTTAAATGCCGCGGCCTACCTGAGCATTGTTTCATCCCTTTATGACCACCATGTCCCCATCCTCTGATGGCTTCCAGGTATCCTACTTCCAGCAGGATAATGCACCATGTCACAAAGCTTGAATCATTTCAAATTGGTTTCTTGAACATGACAATGAGTTCACTGTACTAAAATGCCCCCCACGGTCACCAGATCTCAACCCAATAGAGCATCTTTGAAATGTGGTGGAATGGGAGCTTCGTGCCCTGGATGTGCATCCCACAAATCTCCATCAACTGCAAGATACTATCCTATCAATATGGGCCAACATTTCTAAAGAATGCTTTCAGCACCTTGTTGGATCAATGCCATGTAGAATTAAGGCAGTTCTGAAGGTGAAAGGGGGTCAAACACATTATTAGTATGGTGTTCCTAATAATCATTCAGGTGAGTGTCTGTACTGTATATGTTCAGGTGATGTAGAGAAGAAAACCTTCTTAGAATGTTCTTCGGACTTCCATTTTATGTTATTAATATTTGCTGAATATTTCTGCATTGTTGGCAGAAAACAGTGTGACAAAATTGTTCATGGAATTTCTGTATTATATTTGTTTTTGATGAATGTTTTTAAAAAGCATATTCTCCAGATTTAGGTAGGATTTTGTTCTAAGAAAAATGTATATTACATTTATGACCATTACTCTCAGAAAGTAATTTAATCATTAGCCAATGGGGAATGTTCTCAGAAATAGCCCAGAACTATGTTCAATGATGTTCTTCAAAATTAACAAGAGAATGTTCTCATAACATTTTCAAAATAATAGATTAATCAAGAAGAAACGTTCTTGGATAATTAAAAAACTAGATGTTTAAAAAACATTCAGAAATATTGTTTATAATATAACTGAAAAACGTTCATAACTTTTTTTCATTCTTTTTTTTATTTAGTATTTCTGAATTCATCGGAATGGTCCATGGCAAAGTCTTTGGCACTTGCTGTGTGAACACACTGTCACGCACACTCACAAAATCATGAACATGGTTAAATGATCCTGGGGAAAAAAGTCACACATGTTTGCAAAATTGAAAATTGTTTTTTTTTCAAGTTCAGCAATAATCCGCCAAGTGGCATTCAAGATTTATGAGTTGGAAGTCCATGCTCAAAAAAGTAAATAAATAGCCTAGATTAACTACTGCATTCTGTACATATCATTTAGAACTATAAAATCCCCTAAAAAAGCTAAATATTAAATTAAAAACATTATCAAACTAAAATATAGTACAATAATTTTGTTGAAATAATAAAAAAGGCCATTTTTGACTGACACGTGAAGACTCCCAAAGGGTTAAAGGGAATGTTAGCTAAACGTTCTTAGAGTGTATTTTTATTGGCTGGGAAAGAGCTTCAGCTGTCACGCAACTGCTGTTCTAGCACCTGTTGCATGGACAAACCCCTCGGTTAATGTCTGTTCCTCCAGGAAAAGCATCGGTGACACTCCACACCCAGTCAGGAATCAGGACAGGACTACCATGTCATGCAAAATTATGCAAGGGCCCCCACTGCTGTTGAGAATCAATCATTTGTCAGGGAGAGACACATGCATGTGGCCATGGGTACTCCTCTCTTTCAGTACATTTTATTCATCACACTCTTAAAAGTACAAGAAAAACAACAGCCATGTATAATCTAAAGGCATGTCATTTTTTAATAAACTGAGGTAAAAGGAAATCGTCGCAAATATTATGAAAAACTTTAGTTATGTGAAGTAAATCATTAAACACAAAGCAATATCCTAATGGAAAATGCAATGTACTGCATTAAATTTTAACACTATTTCAAACAGCAATTCAGAAGCAACATTAGAAAAAAAATACGATGAGTAACACTTTAAGAAAGTAAATTGTACATAAGGCTACATTAAAAGCATGTCATGTACAGAAATAGGCTACATTTAAAAAATGAATTAAATTACGCACCATGTAAATGACGGCGCGCGTGAAGCATCCACAGTGTAGCTTTAATCTGATCACGCGAGTCATGTTTCCACGCTGCTGCTGAATTTAACGTCTTTCAAGCGTGTGACAAAACGTGTCCGTGGGGTCTGAATATAGTTGCGGTGGAGGGTTTCGGGGCGTGATTCATGGTCACGGGGAGCATCTGCGCGAGGCAATTCTGTTATTTAGCTACGCGCCCACAGACCCGAGTCTCGCGAGGGAACATCATCGACAGAATTTGCATTGTGCGTGTGTTACACACGACACGTTACATTACCTTTATAATTACAATATATAATACATAACATTAAATAATTTGGCGACTCGATTCTTTTATGTAATGAGGCCAAACTGACGCAGCAGCGACGTTAAAATAGCCTACAACATTTGAAAATAATCCAGTCTAAAATGGGTTTGTTTGAACTGAGCACGTCGTGTGTGGAACAAACGCCAAAACAATAAACAGGAAATAACTTCACTGTCTTGTGACGGTGACGCGCGGGGGCTGATGAAAATCGAAAATCTGACCTCAGACAGGAAACCGTTTGAAAGTAATTTACTACTGTATAGCCTACTGTAAAACACAATATTATTGTATTCATACCTGCATTGTCGGGCTAAAAGTTAGGGGGAGGTAAAACTGCACACTGCTGAACTCCTAAATTGTCAGGTAAACGAGTGTAGCCTATTTCTATATCATATGCAAAGTTAAATAGAGTTATTCCAACCCTCTGATTTAACCCACATCTCAACCAACATCACCGTAATAGATAGACCACAACTCAAACCATAAAATGATCACTTCCATCAAGCCAATTCGCATGGCGTAGGCTAGTCCCTTGACGGATAGTCCCTGTGCTTCGCGCAAAGCACTTTCTCCAATATATCGACAGGCGCTTAGAACCTGAAGCCCAGGAATGCTAAGGGGTAATGGGTGCAAATGTGCGCACCAGTATATCTTTAGGTCACTGGGACCTCAAAGTTGGAACATCCTATTCTTGTCAGTGTCACCCCATCTTCATACTTCTGCATACACAGTTTTCCCACTCGGACAACTACACATCCGAATGAACAGCAAAAGTTTAAGTTGCACTCATTACAATAGTTGCAATGAGATCCGGCTAATCAACTTCTCAGTGAGAGTTCTCCATAACTGTTATTGTTGTAGGCTATAGTGTTGTATAACCTGTGGTCTCATGCCTCCAGCTGAAACATAGTATTTTTATTTTTTATTCAAGTCAATAAATATTGTTTAATAATTGTTGATTACTGTTTAATAGGCCTACGTTATAAGAATGTAATCAGAAAACTTATCTTAAGGTCATAAGAGTGCATTTGCAGCTCTAACAGTTAATAATGAAACTGAAACTAGCCTATTGTCTATGGTCTAAACTTTGTTTCGATAGGGCAGGCTATACTGTATTTTTTTTAAACGAAAGTATTTTTTAAATGAAAGAAATGCAAGCATCGTTATTTTAATGGAAAATAACATTAACTAATACTTTGGGTGGATCGAATGAATGAAACGTGGAAGAATCAATTGTTCTGCAAGACGCGGAAGTATTTGAGCGCGAATTGTGCTTGATGGTGTTGTATACAACTTTACGGACATCTGTGCACCTATAACTTCCTAGATAAACTCTTATCTTATACAGATGGATCATCTGGTTCTCAAAACCATCATGAAAATCAATGAAAATGTAGCCTATTAATATTCTTAACCAAGCATTCTATTAGACGTTGAAATAAAGGAATTAGCCTAAATTATATCTAATATGCAATGCACATCACTCCAAACGCAAAAGGCATTCGCGAAACTTCTTGAGCAAATAGGCTAGCTGTGCAACAAACTCAAAAAGGCAACATCTTCATGTTGTTGCTCATGCATCACTGATTGTTTGATTTCATAGGGAAAAAAAGTTTGAAAATAATTTTATTATAGGGGATGTTGCATAAGCATTTCGCGCGCATCTCGAAAGCAGCGCGCGCCACACCAGCAGCGATCCTAAATTATATAGCCTAGCCTACAAAGTCGCGCGACTTGCACTTACCGTAGGCGATACAGAGTATCATCATAACCGTCCATAGTTTATGTGCACTTCGCCATCAAGCCCAAATTCTTCATCGCATTCAATTATTCACAGGTGAGCCGAACTAGTTTTCCCGATTTTTTTAGCGTCCTTTTATTCCGTCCAGACATCACATAAAATACCATATTTAATTTCCAGAGATTTGGGAGCGCATTCCCTGACAGCGCGACATGTTCGGCATGAGCAGGTACACTCCCATGACCGTCAGTGACTGTACAAAAACTACTATGACGAAGTGTTCCTTTTTAATATTAAAAAGCCAGGCCTGTGCGATTGGAACGCAACAACATGACGTTTGCGTTGTCTAATTAATATTCATGAGCCAAGCCCTCTGCTGTAGGGTTGGGGGGGAGTGGCAGGGGATTCTTACTTAACTATTACCATAAGCTATTTATGGTATTTCATACTCGAAATGAATAATGTAATGTTACTGAAACTTGTAGGCTTACGTGAAGTGATACTTGAGCTCGTGAGACTGAAACCAGTTTTGTTTATTGGTTGTTCAATATGTGTAGTGCAAGATAGGCTATTTCATCGTAATCGGTAGGCTATTTTAAATAAATAAATATGTATCTACGTTGTTTGTTTAGCATTTGTTTAAAAACATATTTTCGAACCAATTAGCGGTTGAATTTATGCTGCCTCTAAAAAGTATGAAAAAACCACCCTTCTGCTGAACTCTGAAATATTTCCAGGTGGATGCTGGACTGAGTGCAGCAGATAGCCAACAATAACAATTGCAATTTCCTTTCCTCCCCTGAAAGGTAATAAAATAATAATTAATGGAAGCAGAATCCTTATCCATTCCTTACGATTCCCAGCTCTACTCTCCAAAGTTACCAAGCAAACTTCTTCTGATTAATATTAATTAGCCAAGCCTTCGCCATAGTAGGATTCGCAATTTCAAAGATCCGTCAGGCTGTGAGATTCAGAATCGATATCACTCCGCCACATATGCTCGCATCATGGATTGAGCTGTGGGTGTGCTCGTTTAAACATAAAATGACTCAGTTAGATCCTTAAAACAGTGCTGCTTTTCAACAGAATATGCCACTGGATGTTGTTGTTGGTTATTGTGCACGGTACTATTTTCATGTAGGGGGCAAGGATAAAGATGTAAAGGGGCAAAGCCGGAACAAGCCGCTTTTCGAGGCGTAGGCTGCATGTATTTTAAAGAGACAGAAATGCTTTAGTTGAGCGTCAGGAGATCATATAAATCTGTTTAGTCATGCACCTTATATGTCTCTTGGTGAAATAAGGAATGTAATGAGTATTGGACATATAATAGTAAACTCGAGAATATTCTTGAAGTGGTTAATATGCCTCAATTTGACAAAGAGCATCCTCATGGGAATTACTGTATGGTCTTCCTCGACTTTTGCCAATGAAAGAATCCTTTGACTCTTTTGCACACTGATGTTTTTCATGCACACTTTCTGTTCCTGCTTCACTGCTGATTTGAGATCACCAGATTGAATTAAATGTATTGTAGGCCTATACAGTAGCTAGTTCTGTTCTCACGGATATAAGTGCGCAAATAGACCCCATTTATACACAGCAACATCGCATAAACAATTGAGCACGATATTGGGGAGATACGTGATGCAAATGTAGCCTATGTTATAAATAATTGATGTTCTATTTTATAAACCCTGACAAAATGGTATTTTTTTATGCAGACAGCCTAGCGGAACCAGCATGTAGTTTGCATTACAATTCTAGTTGAGGATATTCATATTTTGAGAATAGAAACACAGTTCGCTCTTCAAGACAGTCACCACTTACCCCCATTCACTCACTTTTCATTTGTATACAGAAAAGCCCAAGTGATGGAGACATTATTGATAAGGACGTTGGCGACACCGTCTGGCCAGTAAAAGACGCATTTAAAGGGATAGTTCAAACTATGGGAGTCATCAAATATAGGCCTACTAGTTACCGATATTCTTTGAAATATTTTTTGTGTTCAACAGAAGAAATTTACACAGGTTTGTAACAACTTGAGGGCAAGTAGGCCTGTCATTATAATGACTTTTTTTTTTTTTTTAATGACTAAATTTTTGGGTGAACTATCCCTTTGAATGCGGTAATTAATCAATTACTCTATGATTGTTTTGTCATTCGTATTTTTGCCTAAATCTAACATGCATATTTCCGTTTCCTATAGGTTTCTTACGGATTTGCAATAATTAAACTCTTTTTCCACAAAAAATCTTGAAAATTGTAACATTATAGTCAATGAAACGAGGCTTAAAAAAATAAAAATGTGATCCTACACCTCAACTGTTTTCACCTCTAAACTTTTACGAGCTATTTTATTTTTTCCCATTTTCTATCAAACATCTAACAAAACAAAAAAAAAAGTCTTTTGGACTTTTGGTTCACCAAAAAAATAAAATAAAAGAAAAAATGCTAAAAGCTTTTATAGCTAATGGATAAAAATAATTGTTGCATTTAAATCATTTTTTATCATAATGTCTTATTTCTATCATACACTAAGCATTTTATCATGTCTCTGAAGAACATTGTAATTTGTACTAACAAAAAAAAATATTTAACAAAATGTACACTGTCTAGACTCGGCTATAATGGCATTGTGTATATTGGTTTAACTTTCTTGTGAAAATAAATTCTATCATATTAGATATAATCTTAAAATTTGAATTTAATCCATAACTGTATATCCATATTTCATTGGTGCCATATGTGGTCTACTTTTCTACACTACATGAGGCGCAATGGCCATTTTGAGCAAACAACCTCAACCCCAAATCACCTCAATCACACTGTCACTATATTGATATTTCTCATTGTTTCGGGTTGAAAACTTGTGACATGGAGACATTTTTTTACTTTATTTTTGAGAAATTTTATTACAAAAAAATAAATTAAAATATTCATGGTTTAGGAAAGATAACTACTTACCAAAATCCTAACAACTGGAACCACGTGTCCCAGATGTGGCCCAGATCTGGGACGACACTATGAAAAGAAACACAGAAGAGACTAAATTAAAAATATAAAATTGAAGGCAATGTCTCAAACCTGTCTTAAACACCATCACACTGTCACATTAATTTTATTTTTTTTTTTTTTTTTTAAATTGAGAGGACGATTAATGAAGGCATTTCTTACTGGTTACCACCTGACATGTTAATGACTACCACAATCATTGTGGTTTTAGTTAAACTTCTAAACTGATTTTTTATTTTATTTTATTTTATTTTTATTTTTACTTTATTTTTAACAAAAATAAAGAGAGCACAGACACACAATTTGTCTATTTTTAACTTCAGTCCCATAAAATGTGAAAATGATCATAAATGTGACATTTATAAT